AGAATTGACCAATCATAGTCGACTATTCTTACGACTACGACTTTACCCTTGTGCATTTGCTTATAGACCAATCAAATTCGTTATGCATATGCTTATGCACTTATGCAAAAGTGTGTGCTCCCCGCTTTAACAAGTTAAAACGTGACCGCTCTCAGATTTCTCTCTGCTATGGCGTAAACGTATGGTCGGCGTTAATTGTAAATAACGCTGATAGTTTCCGAACGCACTCCTAGAAGATCAATTTCATTTGTGAAATTCGAACAAATCTTTTGTACATAATAGCGAATTCGGTTGATGGTTGCACTAGTGCGCACCAAGTGCACACTAAACCTTGTTTACAGTTAATTCTTATATTTGAAGATCATCTTAAATACCTCTTGCAATATTTCTTATCCAGAAAAATGGTCTGTACAACGTTACACCGATCATTTTTTGACTAACTACTCTTTGGACATGTATTTGAAACAAGCTTAAAATATAACAACTGACTATAAACAAGCCTTAGTGTGCACTCAATGCGCACTAGTGCAAGCAACCGAATTCGCTATAAGTTGTATTAACTGGACGGGTCTTGACTTTAAGGAATTTCACGCTGCGTGTAAGTTTCGATTAACATTTTTCACTTTAGCGACTAATATATCTGAAGGTAATGTTCTGTTGAGAGAGAATGTTACTTCATTTCGTTTTATAATACAATGTGAATCCAGATAGCATACATATGTATGCCTGAAAAACATATAATCTTTGTTGCAATCTTTCAGTAAATCTACGAAGAGGTTGGAAAAACCAAACGGCATCAAGTTGTCTTTTAGACATATGTACGTCTAAAGATTAAATGTAGAAAGATTACATGTACATTTAAAGATACTTTGACCTAATGCTGAAAAACACGTACTGAATATTTTATGCATTTCAGCGAATATTTTAGAGACCAACGCTTCACGTCGCAGAGAACATTATTTTATCGATTACGCTGCAGCGTGTGAGAATGGAATGGTGCAGAGAAGCTTTCAAATATTACAAACACCTTCGTCCGGAAGAATCCCGACTTCTGGGACTCCATGCCGTGACATCTCGCATAAATTTTAATCCATTTCTACGAATACTTCAGAGAACAACATTTTACTTTGTTGATTTTATCTGTTATCAGCTCGCTCAAGTACGAGAACGAATGACTGAAAAGGGGCCGCCGGACATTGTCGGTTCTGCGACCGTGTGTACATTTGTACAACGGCATTTTGTTCAAGCAATTCCGAGTGCGAGTGCGATTTGAAATTAACCTCAACATATTTCCTCAGGATGGCGCGCAACCACGCGCGAGGCGGCCCGCGGTGGCGACGCGTCGCGGAGCAAATTGTCCGGGCGGAAAGCAGCGAGAGAGAGGGAGAGAGAGAGAAAGAGAGTGCGACGCGACAAAGAGCCCACGCGACTTCCGGCGTTGCCAGTGGTTGCCAACCGTCCGTCGAGCGTCGCCAACTGTCAGCCGGCGTGCGGCTTGCCAATTGGTCGGCTGGACGCGACGATGGCTGCTCCGACGAATCGGGGAGCGGAACCGCCGACGGCGCGGTACCGCCGCGGCGTGATGCGGAAGTGATCTCTTTTCCTTTCCTTTCTCGTAGGCTAAGCCGGCATAGTCACACCGGTCATTATTTAAGCCCACCATCCAGCGACGACGTTGAGCTTGCGTATACCGTGCCACGCGCCTGGAATATCTGCCGAGAATATCTGCGGAACGTGCTCCGATTTCGGTTCCTGAGCCGGGAGACGACGCGCCCCGACGTTGCTGGCAGTTGGCAGACCGAGGTCCGAGGACACGGGGCTCGCTTTGTCTATATCGCGTAGAGAAGTGTTCGGAGAAACGCTCGAAGCGAATCACGATGGCGGCAGCGGTGGATTTCCAGAACCAACCACCAATGGACGACACGTCGCAGGATCAACCAGGAAAAATGCACTCCAACGACTCGCATCAGCAGAATATGGAGCAGCAACACTCGTCCTCGCAACCTGGGCAACAACAGGCGACCGCCGGCATCCCAGGCAAGGACGACGAGCGTAAGCTCTTCATCGGCGGGCTATCCCGCAACACCACCGACAAGGAGCTCCGGGATCACTTCGGCAAGTTTGGCGAGATCGAGAGCATCTCGGTGAAGGTCGATCCCCACACCGGCATTTCGCGCGGTTTCGCCTTCATGGTGTTCACCAACCCCAAGACCATCGACAAGCTGCTCGCGTCCGGCGAGCATTATATTAATAAACGCAAGGTACATTGAGCAACCTTACCGTCCACGCGTCGACTTAGCCCGCCGTTAAGCTCGACGGGGCTTCCTAGCGCAGCGGCGGACCCGCACGCGCCGCCTCGCGCCATTTCCGTTTTATATTTACGCAGCCTTTCTTGCCGTTTGCAGGTAGACCCGAAGCGAGTTAGTAAAAAGCCCCAACACGGCAAAATCTTTGTGGGTGGCCTCACCCCTGAGATTTCAGATGACGACATTAAGAACTACTTCAGCCAGTATGGTACCATTGTCGAGCTGCAGGCGCCTTTTGACAAAGTCAAGAATCAGCGTAAAGGCTTCTGCTTTATCACGTTTGATTCAAAAGAGGTCGTGTACAAATTGTTGAAGACGCCTAAGCAGACGATTAATGGTAAGGAAGTAGACGTCAAGAAGGTCAAGGTCAATCCGGATCCGAGAAATCAAGGCTTCTGGGCACCTGGCTACGGCTACGGCTACGGCGGCTATGGTTACATCCCCGACTACAACGGTTATCATAGCGGCTACGACGACATGTACGCGAGCTACGATTACGCTGGTTACGACGGCTACGACAATATGGGATATGGTCCCAAACCGCGAGGTAACGGTCCGGGACCACGTCAATTTCAGAGACATCAACCGTATTGAGAGAGAGAGTGAGAGGGAGAGAAAGGAAAATTGTGTGTGTGAGAGACTGAGAGAGAGAGAGAAAGAGAGAGCGAGAGAGAGAGAGCGCGAGCGAGAGAAAGGTACAACTGAGAGAGATACATCTCTTGGTTATATTAAAACATTTGATGATTACGAGTAGAACCTTTTATTATAGGTGGATCATTATTTCGTCTACCAAACAGAGACTGAATCCGGGATTTCGGGGAGAGGGAGGAATTAAAAAAAAAAGAGGGAAAAACCACCTCTCCAATGCCCCGAATGCCCCGAATTTAGTACATTACACAAGGAAGCTTGCAAGTAATGGCTTAACAGTGGATATTAACAGTAACAATTAAGAGTAACAATATTAATGTCTTCGTTCGACCGACGTTGAACGAGAAGGTCGTTCTCCAAAACCAGTGCTTCAGAATTGAGGACCGAAACCGACCGACCGCACGTAAAATTTTTCTCCGTTGTGTTCTCATCAGTCCCGAAATGATGAGTGGTCGATTTAAATGGCAATTAATTTTAGTTTTAATTAATTGGCAATTCAACAAACTTGCTAAGCAAGATTTCTTATGTCGGATCCAGATCAAGAAAACAGATACGCTTGTTAAGGCGTTAATGACCCCGTGTGACCCTATTCTGTACATTGCAACTATATAAAGCGTTATTAAGCGTAATTATAAAGGCATATATAGTTTCCTCTTTGTACCGTGTTATACTTCTTTTTACACTTTGTGTAAAAGTGTAAAAGATATCTTATGTATATGCATGATGTACATGAGCATGAGAGGGACAAGACCGAGTACATTCAAAAAGGCTAGAAAGAACAAATCTAGGCGTTTTCATCAATTAAATATGTACTATTAATCATCGTTTCCGAGATCGTGCTTTTTACCGCGCCGATAAAGCTTTATCGTGCGAATTATGTTTTCCGGTATGAGATACAAACTTTACAATATGGGAATACATGCAGTTTAGCGACATTCAACGCCATCCGGTAAACTTTTCGCTAATTTGTCAGAGTAAAGTCTATCAAAGTCGCAAACACGAACGAAAGAATTGCTTTATGTGAATATTAACTAATATAGTGTGATCATAACTTTAGTTAAGTTGGAAAGAGTTTCGCGACAAGTCTTGAAATATGATTTGATCTAGATCACTTATTTTTGCCTTATATTCCTGATTTGCTGTCAACATGTATACCCATTAAATTGGATTATCCAGAAAGTTTATGCCACATCTTCAGAAGCATTCGCTAAAAGATCCAGTAAACTTTAAGTGGATAAAAGTCCCACAATTCTCTCACAAGTGCAGAATCAAAAAGTATGTGTAAATTACGTGCGATTTTTTTTTGTTGAAAAATCGACACACTTCAGAAACTTCAATACTTTAGTATCCTACTTTAGTAATCATTTGTAATGTAAAAAATTTGAGTTTCATTGTTCAGATATTACTTTTCTATAGCTTGCAGTTGTATCTCAGACTACTCTTGCAATTTAATGCGTGTAATAATTCAAATTGTTAGACAATCTTAATTTTTGCAATAGCAGTCTAACTATACGATCAAGAAAAATTAATCCGTGAAAGAGAACACAGGCAAATCCAAGTCGGACGCGGTTATTGGTCAAATTCAAGCAAATTCGTGTTAGTATTATAACCACTGGTTTATAGTTATAATGCTAACACTTCTTGTAATCATACAATAATATGTATATGACTTTAACCTTGGAAATCTATAGCGAGTATTGTGATCAGTATTACTCAAGTCGAGTGAATCTCGATGGAGAGTAAGGCTAAGAGATTCGAACAAGAGATGCTATTTTTCGTAATTTCTCAATAATATCAAGACATAACTTAATAATTACAATCTTTTTCACTCTCGTGTAATCAACAACACACAGTGAAACCAATAGTTCGTAATAGCACGTATGATATGTATATTCAATTTCGTCGAGCATCGCCGACAAGATACTTTTGACCCCGTCATGTAAATTATTTTCCGTGCACTAGTAAAAATCGCGTATTTTATTCTCAGTTTTCAATTCTAGCACGAGTAAAAAAATTTGATCATTTGATAGAATTAGAATCTGATAGCGAATTCGATTACTTGCACTGGTGCGCACTGAATATACACTAAGGTCCAGTTTCACAAACGTCGGTTAACTGTTAACCAGAGTTCAGTCGACTTTCCTATCTTTCTCTATCTTGTTATCCAAGAAGAGACAGAGGATCAATTAACCATGGGTTAGCGGTTAAACGACGTTTGTGAAACTGGCCCTAAGGCTTGTTCACAGTTAGTTCTTACATTTAAGATTGTTATTATATGCTGAAAAACTGATTTAGTCACAGAAATGATGCTATACAGATTATTTTCACTGGCTAAAAAGTACTTCAGGAGATATCTAAAATCCTTAAATATAAGAATCAAGTGTAAACAAGTTTCGTGCACTCGGTGCAAGCGACCGAATGTTATAAGATATAGGCTGCGTTCGAGGAGTTTACTATTTAGCGCTGAAAGTCTTATACTATTCTTGTTGCTCATTACACGTCGAAAAAAGTTGATAACATTTTTATGCTGATTATAATTATGCGCGGATTCAAACGCGCACTTCATAATGTTTTGAAAAATTGAATATTATCGTAGATATTTGTACGTATCTACGAAGCATTCATTGTAAGTCGTCGTAAAATTGCTGTCGCGAGCTAACCGCGTTCAAAATTTGAAAATCACGCGCTAGTCTCCATAAGTTAATTAGCCTTTTACAGTATCTCGTCAGTGTTACTCTTTATCTTTAAATTCTATTAAAGTCGTCTTGCTGCGACGACACAAAATTAATTTACACGCCAGTAACCGCTCGGACTAGACCATTGTTTCTGCCGTAAATTTCATTAATTCAGGGTTCTGCTTGAGAATCTAGAGCCGGTATCCACGCTGGCTCCCGTCGAGAACCGGAGAGAGAGAGAGAGAGATCTAGCTTAGGGAATAGAAAGATGGATTGTCCATGTAGGGCGATAATGCAAAACGCGTCTTTTGAGACTGGATAAAGTGACAATTACATTTATAATATACTCACGAGTCATAACGATTGCAGAAGAAAATATCGTATCGTACATCATTTAAAAACAAAAATAATCCATCAATTTCCGAGCGCGCTTTCTACGAGCTTTGGAAGCGCAAAGTAATAGCATTTTGGTCTTCTTCTCCACCACATTCATCTTCTCTTCGCGATCACACACAAGCTTTCGCTTTATTGGAAATAGCAAAAAAAGGAGTGGTTAATATTCAAGGACCAAGGCCTTAGATCAAAATCGATTTCTTTGTGCTTAACTCATAATTAGTAAATAATAACATAATGTAATCTATCCTCATTTAAATTAGTAATGTAATGGTAAACGACTAGTTATTTGCTGCGAAGATTGTGTACATATCGTATATATGCGTGCATGCGTGCGTCATGCGTAGCGTGTGTGCACGCATGCACGTACGTATGTGTATATATGTACGTGCGTTTAATAGATACGAAACACGCGGAAACGAGAGAAAATTAATATTTAGGAGAAAAGCGAAAAAAAAGTTATATAATTAAAATATGAACTGAGTATACACGTGAAGTACACGCGCGAGCGACGAGTTTCAACTTGTAACTTTCTGCTGTCGACGAAATAGCATGTCTAGTAGTAACGAAGGGATAAAAAAAACGGGGAACCTTGCCGGTATAACCATAGTTTAACGCAATATTTAACGCAGCATCGTGTCATACTATCGATATCCTAAATGTATCATAAAATGTATATCGCCATAGCTAATTGTCTGGCAATTTGTCTCTAATAACGTAAGATGGATAAAATCTATCTTGAAACAAAGTTCTATTACTTGCGTGTCGTCTGTGTACGGTCTGTGTGTCTCGGTCTGAAAAAAAAAACAGGAAAATATAGGATAGGAGCTGTGCGAGTGTGATCACCGGAGATGATAAAATAAAGAGCTGAGAGTGACATAGGCTTCCCATAAACTGATCCAGGTGACCAGTACGTTTAAGATGCGAAATGACCGGGGATGATAATAACAAGTTTAACATTTCTTTCACATTTCTGTCGAGCAGTTGCTGTTCGCCGTGTAAAGACTGCTCTTCATATCGCGAAAAGACTGTTAGCACACACACAAGTGATGATACAGGCACTAGGAAATCTTGACAGTTAATAGAACTTGCGGTTTCGACCACGCGAAATTGAAATGGATTAACATAACTGTAAAGAATGTAGATAAGACACACAATGGGACTACATTTAGATACATCGAAATTATTACAATCGAAATATCATAACGAGGCTGAAGAAGCTACATTCAAAAAGAAAAAAAAAAAGAAGTAAAAGGTTTTTTCGCAGACGTCGCAAAGGCATAAAGGTTTGGCTCGACTCGTCAGCGAGCGAAAGTTTAACGCGAGTGGATTTACCCGCTCGAGAAGATCTCCACAAGCCAGGCTGACTAATGTCTTTGAAATTAAATCTGTATACTGTGTATACCATATTTGCTGCGTGCGAAAATATATATTGAAAACAGAGGGGTAGACTAGAGAGAGAAAGTGAGAGAGAAGAAAAAAATTAAAGAGAAACGATACAGATATTTTGTTACTATTAATTACTATTCGCCTGTTTCACCCATGACACAGTGTATATTTTAATTATAACAAAAAAAAATAAAAATATCCCCATTATTTCAAATGATCGTTGTGGAATTTATGATATTACAATATATACATATATAATGCAAAAAGTTTACTTGTTCTTTGTTAAGTTCTCACTTCTTGAGGAAGATTGAGAGTTTCAAGACTGCGTCTTCGGTCTTATACATATATATATGTATATAAGATATATTTGATATATATTTATAAGATACATAAGGTATATAACAGATATAATTATATAGTCAATCTTGATCTTCTACTTTACAAGTTCAAGTTTTATCTTCTGTCTTATGTATTCAATCTTGTCTATCTTATGTATATGTATGTTCATTCTTAATCTTTTATTTCTCATCCTATTTTTATCTCTAGCCAATCTTGATCTTCTACTTTACAAGTTCAAGTTTAATCCTTTGTCTTATACATTCAATCTTGTCTATCTTACTTATATACTTACGTATATGTTCATTCTTAATCTTCTATCTTTCATCCTATTTTAATCTTCTATCTCATATACTCAGTCTTGATTTTTTATCTTATATATTCATTCTTAATCTTCTAGCTTACATATCTAATTTTAATCTTCTATTTTATATATTCAACTTTATAAGTGTTTCCTACTTATATTGTGGAATGGTCAAGAGCCAATAAACGAACATATAGATGTGAAAAATTAAATAGTTGATTAACGTTTAAATCTGTAGTCTTCATACAAAATAAATATAAATAAATGTTTCTCATTATAATGTTCGCGGACTTAATTCTCTTCTTTTCTCTCATGTACTTTATTAATTCAATATACGGCTGAGAAAGACTTGTCAGTGATCGAAACGTTCCATTTATGTTTACAAGCTACTGCAAACTATTTAATTTTCCATTTTCTACATTCACATCTATATTCCCTCGTCCATTGCGCCTGTGACCGTCTCACATTACGCGCACGCACGAGCCTGCCACTTTTTTTTTCTACCAATGTAGATTCAGTTTGATCTCGGTTTAACTTTCTTTTTATCTTTTTCTAGTTCTAAGGCCCGGTTTTACCAAGGTAGCTTAACGTTAGGCTTAGTTTAATTCGTTCTTTGTCTCTTTCCAGCTGTTACTTTAGAAAGAGCGTTTGGTGAAACTGGGCCTGAGAGTTGGAAGATAGAAAGTAAAGCCGGGATTAAAGTTAATCTGTATTGGTAGAAACAGGTATGACTCTTATCAATATAACTTTTGTCTCGTCTCATGTGACGAATAAGGCCCGGTTTCACCAACGTTGCTTAACTTTAAAGTTCAATTCGTTCTTTGTCTCTTTTCAACTGTTATTTTAGAAAGAGACAAGCATGCATTAAAATTAAAGTTAAGCCTTCGGCTTCACCAAACGTCGCTTAACTTTAATCTTAGTTCAATTCACGTTTATCTCTTTCTAGAGAAACAGTTGGTAAGAGACAAAGAATAAGTTAAGCGACGTTGCATGGTGAAACTGGGCCTAAGAGTTGGAAGATAGAAAGTAAAGCCGAGATTAAAGTTAATCTGCATCGGTGGAAACGGGCATCTGTCTTATAAATATGACTTTTGTCTCGTCTCGTGTGACGAATAAGGCCCGGTTTCACCAAACGTCGCTTAACTTTGATCCTACAATTAGTTTAATTCACTTAATTTTGTCTCTCTCTAAAGTAACAGTTGGAAAGAACGAATTGAGCTAAGCTTCAAGTTAAACGATGTTGGTGAAACTAGGTGGAAAACGCAATCGAGTGCGCGGTGAGCTTTTTTGCGCCCGAGGTGTGTAGTGACGGGTTCATCCCTTCAACTTTATCTTGCGCGCGGCGGGACGACGTTAACGGTGCCCTCGGCAGATGTCGCGGCGCGCGCGATATCCCCGCTACGTCGGCATCGCTCGACGCACGGCACGGCGGCGGTGCGCGATGCGCGCGGTGTTCCCGAAAGTTCAGTAGCTGCACAAGCGGCGCTGCCTCGTCGACGTCTGCGCGTGTGTGCGTGTGTATATACGCGTAACAGCTGTGCGGCTGGTCTCGCTCGTCGCGTTTTTTGGGAACCGCCGTTCTCACGGCACCGAGCGACCGTAGGCGGCATCTTTCCCCGAGAGCGGAGGCGTGGAGGCTCGTCGCGCGTAGAGGACGGGAAGGACCGAGCGCGAGCGAGCAAGCGGGAGAGAGAGAGCTATGCCTCACCCAGAATCGGCACGGGTGTCGTCGCGATCGGTCACGCCGCTCCGACGATCGCGGGGACTCGCGATGTAGCCCCCCTCCTCCCCCCCTCCGCCCGCCCGCTCCCGCTTCTCGCCCCGCGGAAGGGAGTCCGTGGAAAAACACGCTCGCTCTCTCGCTCGCGTCGTCGTAGCCGTCGTCGTCGTCGTCGTCGTCGCCGTCGCCGCCGCCGCCGCAACACCCTGGTCACATCGATGCGTCGTCACGCAACGCCGACGGGCACTCGCGCAGCAACGCTCACGGATCTTGGCCGCCGCGTCGAGTCACCTGCGACTACGTGTACCTCGCCGTTAACGTCGCTGCCTCCCACAACAAGTGCCTTCCCACGACTCCAGTCGTGCTCCGGCCGTGCGAGCCTGCCGATCGCAGGGCAGGCGGCGTGTACGTTTCACCTGCCCCGCCGGTGAACGCGGCAACGACCATCGCGCGCACCTTTTGTCCGATCCTGCCCTGTACGCCTCGGTAAGTGACACGCAGTCTCGAGCGCGACGCCGCCGAGGGGGTGGATATCTGTAGCAAAAAAACAACGGGAGGGGAGGGTGGGGGGAGGACGGCCTCTGGGACAGGGGTACCGGTTCAACCGTGTTCAACAATGCCGCAGGAACCGTCTCCCGGGTTGAATCTACTCGAGCGAGCCTCGGATCGACGACCGACGATTGTGTCGCACCCGTCCGAGGCGAAACCTGCGGCGTGAGGAAACGCCACGACTCGGAAAGGAATCGCGTTTCCGGTCTTCCGAGAAGCTGGGGTCAATTCTGTATCTTACGCCACAGTGGAAATGCTAGAAGCGAGTGGCTCCGTCTTTTTCTAACCGCCCCCTTAGGAAGAGACAAAGCCGCTCACATTTTCACTGTACTATAATAAGGAATTGACGTCCCGATAGCGTGGAAGCGACCGAGAGGCTCGGCTTGGTTTCTCTCGCGAGGTCTACTCTTGCCCGCTTAAAATATCAGAATACCATCGGATCGCGTTAAGTTACGTGCAATTTCAATGTAAATAAATACGAGTCTTGGTCATTCACACTGAAATTGCGTGTAATCTAGCGTAATCTGATCGTATTGTATTTATTATTTTAAACCGGGCTCTTTACCGAGCACCTTCGGAACGCGGCGATCGGTGCTGAGGAACGAGAGCGTCATTGACGTCGTTTCATTCATAACTTGTCCTCCACAGGTGGAAGACAGATTCGCGGTCATTCATGGCTCGAGGATCGGAGTCGCGGCGAGCGTCATCGGCTCCGTACTTTTCCCCGAAAGACGCGATAACGGGCCGCCTAATCGCCCAACGGAGACGAAAAGTCTCGGAGTCCGCGGACTTGTCTCTTTTACAACGCGTGGAGCGGCAGAAAAAGAAAAAAGCTAGCGACTCGGCATTGCGTAATCGCGTCATCGACCGCCGTCGATTGTTCGGGTCCAGCGTACGCGTAATTGTCGCGTTGGACGCACACGTTTGGGAGAGTGACGCTGCCTGCGTCGCGCCGGGACTCACGCGCAGGCGGTATTTTTATCGGGCCGAACGCACGTGACGAGCTGATTGATAATTACGGTGGAGAACGGCGAGACGACTGGAGATTAGGTTGCGGCAGAGTCTTTTCTCCCTTCAACGGGGATGCGCGGCGGTCTCTGGCGAAACTATGTGGCCGGTCGGACTTGACGAATGGCCGAAAGCCCGGTCTACAACGAGTTGTTGGTCATTAGTCAGAAATCAGAGCTATAGGTCGGTCCTTTTCCTTTCAGGGCGGAAGAAAAAGGACCGACATGCACTTTTGACTTCTGACCAACCACTAACAACTCATTGTAGACCGGGCTTAAGATTTAGACTCTACTGCCTACTTGTGTCCACGATGCTAGAACTTGGACCAAGCATTCAGAACTAGAACTTGGACACAGTTCTTGGATCGTGAACACAAGGCTTGAAGCCAACGGCACACGATACTATTTTTCCTATTGGAAAATTGCTTACGAGAACCAATCAAGATTTAACCTTAAGTCATTTGGTCAAAACTCTGCATCCTTAATTAGATCTCGGTTTTGGTTACTTTAATCCTTTTCTAGTTTCAGGAATTGGACAAAAACTTAACCAGCGGCATACGATGCTTTTTTGCTTGCTGGTTTGCTTGCGTGCACCTTTGCTGGCTAGTGAGAGCCAATCAGAATTCCACGTGATAGGTCAGATGAGTTAAGATTGTATCCAGGGGCTCGATTATGAATCTTTTTCTCTGGCGTGAACTCGTAAAAAGTGAAAAATTTTATTGATAAATATTTAACTCGTCAATGAAATCTTCTCACTTTTTTTTCTCACGTGGAATTCTGATTGGCTCTCACTAGCCAGCAAAGGAGCACGCGAGTAAACCAGCGAGCAAAAAAAGTATCGTGTGCCGCTGGCCTAAGTTTTTATCTTTGTCCAATTCCAGAAACTAGAAAATAATAAAAAGCAAGCAAAAGCGAGAGCAGAGTTAATCTGATTCGGTAGAATTAAACAGCACGTGAAAAGTGAGAAAATTTCATTGACGAGTTTAATATTTACCAATTGTTCACAGTTTTCACGAGTTCACGCTAGAGAAAAAGATTCACGAGCCTCTGAATGGGTCTCGTTAACTAGCAAAGGTGCATGCAAGCAAAAAAGCAATCGTGCGCCGCTGGCTTTAGTTAAACTCGGATTAAAGTTAATCTGCATTTATAGAAATGGGCATAATAGAGTCTGAATCATCAGCCGATTCGTACACTTTCGGTCCCGTCGTGCGGAACTCAATAGGCTTGTTTCCTGTGGCTACACTGGTGCACTAGTGCAATAAATTATAGCGTTTTCCACTGGGAAAATTGGTGCAGTACCAGAGCTGCGCTAGGTTTCTATAAAAACTACTAGTGCAATAATAGTGCAGGTTCAGTGGAATATACACATATATACACCATATACACTGTCACGTTACGATACATCATAACGTCGTATGCTTAATTAAAAACCAAAATTGTGACTTTTGCAATTAAAATTTATATATTGCAAAATGGAGACAGATAATGCATTGCTAATTCAAATAAATAATAAGGTTTTTTCTTTTGATATTGAGTGTATGGGAAAGAAATGATGGTGAACTAGCGCAGTAAGCTAGAATGAGAAAAAATATGCTTGTCTTACTCTAATTTATTGCACTGGTTCACCAGTGCGGAAACAGAAAACAAACCTATTGTATTAAATCGATAAGCATACATTATACAAGTGTCATTAGTGATAGGAATTTGACGGTACATAATTTACGCGAATCTAAAGATGTGATAATTAGCCCTCGCTGAGTCATATTCAATAGAATTTAGTTCTTCCATTGTCTGTATTTACAGAGAACCGTCTTAGGCAGTTCTTTCGGGTATATTCTCTTTCTCGGGTAGATTTAATCGGACCTGACGTTTTATCGAGGTGAAATTATGTGGCACAATTAGATGAGGCTTATCGAAGCTCGACTAATCGTCGAGTTTGACTGAAACTTTTGGAATATCTCAAATCAAGTTTGACCCCTGGATCAAATTGTGCTAAAAAAAATCGGTTCGATTCAGAAGCGCTTCGCGGCTTCTTTTCCACGACAGAGCAGTGGTAAAAATGAGATTACGTTTATAGCACCTGACTCATGTCCCACCTTAATAAGGATTGACAATCCTGAAATTTGTCAGGGAGGCTTTTCATTGCGAAATTGTGTCAGAATTCAAAGATCTAAAAATATTCAAGAGAAGTTGCCTGTCCCACGGGTATTCATTCATAAAAAGCTATACATGTCTAGGCTCTTCAGGTACGGACAGATAAGTATCCGTAAATGGAAGAGAAATGAGAAAGAAAGAGAGAGAGAGAGAGAGAGGGAGAACATGTGTAAGGGCCAGTTTCACAAACGTCGGTTAACTGCTAACCAAAGGTTAATTGATCCGCTGTCTCTTCTTAAATAATAAGATGAAAAACGATAGGGAGTCGACTGAACCCTAGTTAACAGTTAACCGATGTTTGTGAAACTGGCCCTAACTCCGTTTCTAATACGCGACTACTCGAGGGTTAAGTAAGATATCCAGTCGACGTGATAGTTGAAAAGATTGAACGAATACTGTGATTTTGCAGGGAAGTGAATCAGCTAGCTGAAGCGGAGATGCATTGCTGAGACGGCGCGAGGAGCGAAGGGAGACTGCTGTTCGAGTGGTCCGAGTGACGATCCTCGGTAACATAACCTGAAAAGTCAACATGTCTCAGCTGAACATCAACACGGGCAAGCGAGGGAGAGGGGTCGCGAGTACCTCCGCGTCGACCGTGTCCGCCCTGAGCAGCTCTACCGACCTGGCGAGCCTCTTCGAGTGCCCGGTTTGCTTCGACTACGTGCTTCCACCTATTCTGCAATGTCAAAGCGGACACCTCGTTTGCACAAATTGCAGGCCGAAGCTCTCCTGCTGCCCCACGTGCAGGGGTCCCCTGGGTACGCGAGCACTTTTTCATTTCACTTCGCTGTCGGGGCTTATATTGATTTTTTCCCTCTTTTGGTTACGCTCCGAGGTCTCGGTAAACGCCTTCAGCACGCGTTTGTATCTAACATGCAGTTACACTCCAGGTAATATCCGTAACTTGGCCATGGAGAAGGTGGCGAGTAACGTCATGTTCCCATGCAAGTATTCCACCAGTGGCTGCACGATTTCGCTGGTGCACACGGAGAAAGCAGATCACGAAGATACATGCGAGTTCCGTCCATACAGCTGTCCTTGTCCGGGCGCGTCCTGCAAGTGGCAGGGGTCGCTGGAGCAAGTGATGCCGCATCTTATTATGAGTCACAAAAGTATAACGACCTTACAAGGTATCGGATCCTCACTGTTTGCCTCGTACCTCGATTATAACGCCTCACGCACTGTCCCTCTCCCGATCTCTTCCAGGCGAAGACATTGTTTTTTTGGCAACTGACATTAATCTCCCCGGAGCCGTGGATTGGGTCATGATGCAATCTTGCTTCGGTCACCACTTTATGCTGGTACTCGAGAAACAAGAGAAGTACGATGGACATCAACAGTTCTTCGCGATTGTACAATTAATCGGTTCCAGGAAGCAAGCGGAGAATTTTGCTTACCGGTAATCGCAACTCGTGCCATTTATCTCAAAGTGATATCTAAAGAGAATTCAATAGATTTAACACGATCGTCTCTCGTTTGAAAATTGACTCTGATCCGTTCAACAGACTGGAGCTGAATGGACACAGAAGACGTCTCACGTGGGAAGCGATGCCGCGTTCTATTCACGAGGGTGTGTCGTCTGCGATTTTAAATTCTGACTGCCTTGTATTTGACACCACCATCGCGCAGCTGTTCGCTGACAATGGCAACCTAGGAATTAACGTTACAATTTCTATGGCCTGAGGAAAGCCAGAAAAAGCAGTGTAAAAGGAAAGAGGAAACATCACTTCCCGGACATAGCGAGCAGTCCTTGGGATCGTGGGCGCGGTAAGGTACTCGAATGGTAATCAATGGATTGCCTGGTACGCGCAGAGAACAGTTCTTTTTGTGTTACCAAATGGATATTTAGCAATACGGAGACACTGGGGAATGTTGTTTCGAGTATGTTGACGATACGCAGCATTTGGATGCTCGGCACTGTTGTTAAAAAGTTTTTAAGTGTACTTGGATGTGATGACACGTCACGGATATGTTATACATAATAACCATCTTCTCAATGTATCCACGCTGTGACTTTGGAGCTTCGATGCTGAGCACGATATCGAATCCCGAGAAAAAGAAAGTACCTGATATCTGCGCTATTGTCACATTACTCTTGCTCATTTCGCATCGAAATCGCACTTTCATTCGTGCCTCTCCGTGGAGATACAACGCGCTGCATCTTTTTCGTCCGTGTTTTAACACACTTCCGGACTTCTTTGTATTTTATCACCTTTCTAGACTTAGTGCGGTGAATACGACTATTACGAGGCAAATTTCATTTTATTTTGTTCTACGAATCTCTTCGTGCAATTGCGTCTTTTATTCTCCGCCTATATATTTTTATATTAGTATTATTTGATTTATAAAATTTGCTTTCCGTTCTAAAACCGGCCATACTTTTCTACATTTTATTCTACATTCTGTATTCTACATTTTATTAAAGGTCCTGTATGTATGTATTTTGTATATAACGCGATAAATATCCGACTAACAAGGTAAACGCAGCCGCAACTGTTTCGTTCTGCCACATTACGACTACATGTACGAGATCATGTATGTGCTTTTTGCGATTTTTATATGCAAACAGCAGTGAAAGGCAGATCAGTTTTTCACGATCTAGTCTGAATGTCGAAGCAAAATGCTAATATTTTTACAACAGTTATAACATTAACATGGGATGTATTTCCGAAATGTTACTGATACTACTGAGTATCTGTATATGTGAGCTATAGAGTCTCAGAGCTGTCAATAAATTTCGGGGTGCACCCAAGGTGTGGAGCAATGTTCAATTGCAGCAAAGTTCCTGTAAGCGAGATAAAATGGAAGTTAAAAGTGACTCAAGCAATGATAATTATTAAAATAAATAAAGGATATGTTTTGTTTGGTTTGAGTTTCAAAGGACGTTGCAGTATTTTCTCTTGTAAATAAATATTAACGTCGCATTACACTTGCTGTCTCATAAAGCTCATTTTTATCAATATCGATGCGGAAGAAGGAATAAAATTGTTCTATACTCCACGTTCAATGTTTATGCAATTAATTCTCTTAATAACTGCCTCTTTTTTTTATAAGTAAGTTATTTTGAGGAGTGCTATCTATACAGATAACACTCGTACTCCCGCGGTAAGATTTTAATCTCGTGACTCTCTTAATACCTTTGGAGATAAACCAGATTCTTCCTTTATACGTTATTAACATTCGTAAGTTTCGAAAAGCAATGAGATATTTAGCAAAAACAGAGCATTGAACCGAATTGCACCACAAAATCGTTCAATAAGTCCAACTACCGGAAAGAAGTGATGGGGAACATTGTTTTCTTCGGAGGAACAATTTAGACTGAAATGTAATTATACAAGATGAGTAGGCTAAGTTTATAACGATTGATGATATATTTTTCATAGAACTTGCGAAAACTTGCACGAAATTTACTTTCGCCAAGTGAGTAATTCGTATCTTACATATTGTTGAGAACTGTCTTGTCGAAGGCTGCTGACGACATTCGGGATTAATATACATTCTATATCACCATTACTCATTAATTATTTATCGGTTTAATGCCCTGTAACAGTTGTGAAGGAGAGGAGGTTCGCGGAGTGTATAGGCGGATAAGCACTGTTATTGTAAATAAGACGCGAAAACTTATGTGATATAACTAGTATTAGTAATATGCATCACAACATGCCGATATTCACGATGTTGGAAATAACTCGAGGGAACCAAGTGTACGGTGTACGCGCACACTGCAAAGTATGATTTAGCGTGTATTACCAAACTTGTAACGGATTATATTTACACACGTCTGTCAGGCGGATAATCTAATTTTATCGGACTCGCATGGAGAAACGAGCGTTCTTGGCGGTTACCGGAAAAAAAAGAAAAACAGAAAACGAGATCGAGAGTCCCCGAGTATGACGTTGATTGTTATACCCCTTATCGAGACTGTAGAGAGTATCTTCCCGACTGTTAAAATGAAGCATAATTCGAGCGAATCTCGGTCGAGATTGTGTCGGAAATTATTGTGCTTGTATCGAGATCCGCGATTGGTACGCACAGGAATTCCGTACAGAATTCATCGTGCGACATAGGGAAGGATTACAGATACACACACTGGATGTGAGTCTTCTCTCTGTAAACGCGGCACCGGGCGATGACCTAATAATTTATGTTTCGAGGAAACTCATCACATTGTTAAGTACCCTGTACATACGATAAGATGAACGACGTAGCGTAATCCTTATATTTTAACCAAGTAGTAATTTATTCTCTAGCATTCGCGAGGGCTCCATTACCGTTTCATTCAACACGATCACGGGGAATGTATCTTACGTTCGATTCTTTTAACGAATATATCCATTGTTTCGCTCGTATCGCGGAGGCCGATTATAGGCGATTTTTGGCGATTGTTTGGTACATGTACCAAAGCGTACCAGAGTGTACACTCGACGTCATGAATGCTTTTACACCCGAAATTAGCCGTTAAGTTCAATATATTACGATAGAAAAATTCATTTTATTAAAATACATTTTCCTATTGGATATCTTTAGCGTCTTTCTTTAGGTGTAAAGGTATTCATATACACTCTGGTACACTTTGGTACGTGTAACAAACAGTCGCCAAAAATCGCCTTATGTAACATATGATATTCCTGAAAAGGGAAAGCGAGAAAATAATAGTTGTGTTACGAGTTGGATGAGGAATAAATGAGCTGGCGAGTGAGAAATGTTATATGTGAAATGTTGAAGGCTTTGGAAGCTCGCTATCGGTAGAAACGATGCCGATATGACAATCTCATCGTCATTTCGTTTCTGCGTGAACTTAAAAACGCCTTACGTTAGATCTATGTTACGGTACACGACTTCCCCATTTTTACTCGATACACGTTGGAATTATTATGTTTGAAATTAAAATACTTTGAAATTAATTGTGCGTACACACATACACGCACACACACACACACACACACACACACACACACACACACACACACACACAGCGAACGGTTAGACGAATTTTCATATTTTACGTATGTTTAAAACCGTCCGCTGATTTTAACGTAAACTTAAGTATTCGCGAAATCTCTGTGTTTCGGTGAGATGCGAGAAATGTAATTACTGAACCGTACAACTTGGCGAATGCCCGACATATCCCGAATAAAGCGAATACGAACGAACGAGAACGACAGTTTTCCTTGTTTGACGTAATTTGCGAAATCACGAGCGAATCCACGATGGGATCTTCGCGGACTCTGCGAGGTGTCTGGCGGAGAGGCCGGCGGTGCTCGCGTGTATTCGCAGAATAGTATAATATTGTCGAGAGAGTAGCTTTATTTAAATATAATGTATATACTTACATATACATATTTATAGAATCTACAAAATGTTCAAGCCATGTATAAAGAGCATGAATAAATTTTTTTTTATAGATACTTTTCCTATCACCGCCGATACCGCTTTCTTATCCCTAATAATTCTTACAAAAACTTAAAATTTTCCTAAAATTTCTTCAAACCTTCTTGCCACAACACAAATACAGAAGTTTATAACTGAACAATATTGTTAATTTTGTTCTAAGGAAGATTCGGTAATTTGGATTGAATAAACGAATAAAATTAATGGAAGAAAAAAGTCTTCAACTTGTATAAAAATGTCTTCCGCAACAAGGCACTATAAAAAAAACTGGCCATCTTACGGCAGCTGGCGTGATTATCACAACTTAGACGATTAATTCATAATATAATATTAATTGCATTTTATCAAGGCACGGTCCTTTAGACGTAACTAAAGTCTAAAGCTGAAAATAACGCGCGGTTCCTTCTTTCTCCTTTGGGTTTTCGCGGTTTTTCGATAGGAGACAGTGGCGGCCAATCACCTGCTGCCTCGCCTCGACTGTTTCCGTGGAAGAGCTGATTGGCCATCGTGCCCATGTGCTCTTGCACGTGCGTACTCGATTGTGACGCACATGCTGGGAGTTGGGTTATGTTCTCTCGAGTTGAATTTCGACTCTTTCGTTTCGGTCGCGAGTTGATCAGTGAAAAATGCGCCTGATAATCCCGAAGCCGTTACTTTACGGATCCATAGCGGTGACCACCGTCGGCGTTTCGTATCTGACGAAGTAGCGTCGCTCGAAAGTTATTTAAAATCCCGCACGATGAGGGCCTGAGCAGAATGGCTGTCTTGTATTCTTAAAACGATGTTTTATGTTTTAAATCTTTGTCTTAAAGCAACGCGCAATAACTGTCTTGTGACTTAAGAATACAAGACAGTCATTCTGCTCAGACACTAAATCATCAATGTACTTCCTTTACGTTTGCTTTCGTCTATCTCTTGAAATTGTCAATATCCATGTCGCTTATTGTCCATTTGAATTTGTCTTTTTCATGTAAAGATGTAAACAAAGTCGTTTATCTACGCATACGCGCTTTTCCTCTCATGTTTAAACCAGTGAGATAGTATTTTACCTTTTGTTTTGTGACAAATACTAAAAATGTCATGTTTTTGCAGAGATTATCTGGGAGGTCCAAAATACAATGGGCAGGAGGATCTGACTGGTAAGGTAGTCATTGTGACGGGAGCCAATTCCGGCATCGGGAGGGAAGTAACTTCAGAATTGGCCAAACGTAATGCAAAAGTTATCATGGCATGCAGGGACATGGCAAAATGTGAAACGGTACTTATATCGTTAGTATCTACTCAGTTTACAAATCAAGTGTAAAATCAATGTGACATTGTTGTAAAGGCCTGTGTCCACGGTGCTAGAACTTGATCCAAGTTCTAGTTCTAGAAATGTGTAGCCAATGAACTTGTAGCTTTTATGGAATAGCTGCGAGTTGATTGGCTACACATTTCTCGAAACTACAACTTGGACCAACTTCTAGCATCGTGGACACAGGCCTTAAGATATTACATTTAAGAGAAGCATCTAGCTTCTCTCGCGTCGCTTATTACCTCAAATCGCTGCAATGTGGTTTTATTCTCGCTCACAGGAACGCCGAAATATTGTACTGGACACAAAGAATAAGTATATTTATTGTAGGACGTGTGACTTAGCGTCGCAAGAAAGTATTAGGAAATTTGTTACGCAATTTAAGAAAGGTAAGATTAATGTTTATGAATGTACGTAGCGCTACTCTGATTTTTTATTTAATGACAAGCGTTTATCTTGCTTGTAGAATTTAATCACCTTAACATACTTATCAATAACGCCGGCGTAATGAGATGCTCAAAGAGTCACACTAAAGAGGGCATTGAGATGCAGCTTGGGGTAAATTACATGGGACACTTCTTGCTCACAAACTTGCTTCTGGACGTCTTGAAAGCGTCCGCGCCATCCAGAATTGTGAATCTGGCGAGCGCTACCTACCGTTCTGGGAAAATAAATATGAAGGATTTAAATCTGGAGAATGATTATGATTCCGGTAGAGCGTACTCTCAAAGTAAATTGGCTATAGTTATTTTCACTCGTGACTTGGCGGACAAATTGAAAGGTGATTTGGCAATTGCATATTTTTTCTCGTTTCGCGGCGACTACTGTGCTCTACTTTTTACTTGTTTTCCAGGAACTAACGTCACCGTGAACGCTGTCCATCCCGGTATAGTTGACACTAACATAATACGGCATATGTATGCGTACACCAACTTCTTTATGCGAATATTCGTGAAGCCATTCGCTTGGCCATTTATTAAAGCACCTTGGCAAGGAGCTCAAGCCGTTTTGTATGCGGCGTTAGAGCCTAGTCTTACAGACGTTTCCGGATGTTATCTCGCGTAAGTGCTACTGGGAATTTTAACAAACGGTGAACGTCTTGAATATAATAGCAATGTCGTTATATTTATTATAGCAATAACGAAACCAAGGAATTATCAGAGGATGCCAAGAACGATGACCTGGCAAAGTGGTTGTGCAAAGTCAGTGAAAAGTGGACAAAATTAAATATTTCATGAATAAATGTACGATAGAAATATATGTATACAGTTGCTAGTTGGAACTTGTTTTTTAAATAAAATACAAGTCTTTGATAATCGCGTTTTTCAAGTTCTTATTCCTCGTAAGATCTTCATATATAATTTAGATAAATTAGATAAAATAACCTGTTAATAATTATTATTAGAGGAAAGCTCTCTATTATGAGATAGCAGGTTTTCAACACCCAAATTCAATCGCAAGTCTTTTTCGCAACGACTAGACAATCTAACACGAATTTTCCACTAAATTTCACTCTGAGGGCAATAAATTCATGGTGGAAACAAATGATGACGCCTATTATAATATAGAGGCCCTCCACCACCCTCTCCGCGTTTAATCGACGGTCCTTTTTTCTTTACAATTTTATTTTTACATTTTTCTTATTTATTTCGTTTTTCTTATAATTTACGTTACAATACATACAATATTATAAAAGAAATAATAACATTATAAAATGAAAAATATAATATCTGTACAATACCTATACTCTAAGAAATATGGATGTGAATTCTTACCAATGGTGTGAAATGAACACCCATTCAGGTGTTTATATAATTCTCACCTTATCGATGTGAAATTAACACTGCTTTGTTAGTGTGGAAAATTCACATTCCTGCGGTGTGAGACAAGCATATTGCTACAAATAACTGTTACTGTTACGTGTGGCATCGTCATGGCAAAACAATATAATATCAAAGTTGACACCGCGTTTGTCGTGAAAGATTTTCTAATGCTGCATGCACAAGCGATCTTAATGCTCGTCCCAAAAACTGCCAAATCTCGGAAGTGTGGCCATCGACAGGAACGGACATTTAAAGAATAGATATTTTTCAAACAAGCTTTGAAGTGTCTTTAATACGATTACTTTATACGGCACTCCCGAACGCGATGGGTACCTTTGGTTGTCCCGTCTTTAGGGTCTGTACTCTCTAAAAATTAACCAGTGCATCATTACTGTAAATCAGTGAATATTCATTGTTTTCAGTAATAAACCACTGAGTGATTTTTAGAGAGTAACCCTTCAGGGTACTTAAGCCCCTCCACCACGACAAGGTAGTACCCGAGGAGGGGATTATCAACAAGAAACTGTGCAATTACATATGTGTATGTATAGAAAAATGAATATTGAGTGAACATAAATTAGTGTTGCTATTTAATGCACGACGTGAGAGAGATTCATCCGAGTTCGATCGTTAAAAAAGATATTAGCGTGGATATATCGAACCTAACTAATAATTTATATATGTAATTTCCCTATGGCACTTCTACTTCAAATTACGCGTGATATTTTTCTCGACAAATCACCGTAGAAATGAATGATAAGTTTACGGATCGCGACAATTAATTAAATGCGATTGATAAATGTTAATAACTCTCGTAGAAAATGATCGCGTTACGATACGAGCGACGCGAAGACACGCGCAACATCCGCCTCGCTCGACTGATACGCGCCGAATAATTCGACACAATAGACTGTTTTCAACCAGTGTTCGCGACGCTATGTCATTTCTTGGAATCGACGCCCGAATGTTAGCTTTCCAATGAGACCAAGATCATCGTGCTACGATTTTTCTGTGTGAAGATATTGACGATTATATCGACTTGCGAATTTTTTTTCGATCTCGGAATAAAATTAATCTAATTTTCGGAAATAATTAATGATATCTCATAAGTTAATGATCCGAGATAAGCGATTCTTATCTCGTTAGAAGCGCTGTAATCTTAGCTTTCCAACGAGACCAAGATCATCTTGCTACGATTTTTCTGTGCGAAGATATCGATGATTATATCGACTCGCCATCTTATCCCGAGACAGAAGCAGCAGACGGCAGAAGCAGCGCGTATATGCGGCGTCTGGCGCGTCAATGTTCACCACCGAACAGGTGTGCCTCGTATGTTTTTATGCCAATTTTTTAGGGCGTAGTACGCTCGCGTACTACTTGCGTAAAACTCGCGCGGCCTTCTCACATGAATGGTGGGCGCGCGCCCGATTTTTAAAACGCTGTAACTCGGCGAAAAATTGACGTAGCGACACGAGCCAAAAACCAATCTTCTTCGTTTTGCATCCCGCAGATGTCTACGCTGAATGTGCAATGTATGCCCTTATCATGAAACTTACACACGGTAATGGAATAAACAGTAAAATGCTGAAATATAAATTATACGTATAACTGCTAAATATAAAAATTGGCTGACAAACTATATTAGACTGTATAGCAAGTAAATTAAAGTTTGACTTTTTATCATTATTTATCATATTTAATTGTCGCGATCCGTAATCATATCGTTAATTTCTATGGTAATTTGTCGCGACGACGACGCAACACGACGAACCGCCGCGTGCGCTTGCGATTCGTTTAAAATGCGACTTCTACTTCTAACTATGCGTGATATAATTTCCACTTGGTGCATGTCTGTGCTATGCATTCCGACATCTAATTTAGAAAATTTACATTGTCTAGTGAAAAGTTAATGTAAATATCATGTAGATAATTTATGTTAATGTAATTTTGAATTTCACAGCACAATCCTGAAAAATAGGAGTAGCATGGATACGCACAAAATGGTGACTTTGTCGGCAGTGTCAGAAGATGCATAGCACAATAGTTCTAAAAGTAAAAATAGACGTAAAGGCGCGCAAAACAGTCTCTTGAAATGGTATCAAGTAAAACGCCAGCGTGGCCGCTCTCAGGTTTTCTCTCTGTAGCATGGAATAGAACCAAATGATACGTGAGACGCGACAGCATCGACAGCGACTGTCCAAGATGTGGTGCGTTACCCATTGAAAAAACTAATGGCGATGCAGTACAACATTTACATCTTGCGCGCACAGAGGCGCCAGTAAACGGATCAAGTTCTTCTCTCTCTCTCTCTCTCATGAGTTCCACTTGGGACGTGGAGTGAACAGCGCGTCTTCTAACCTAGAAGATAAAATTTTTGATCCTGCGGGGCAGAGATGCAAACTTTGGGGCCGAGCACCATCAAAGTGTTACACCGGTGCTCACACACACACAAGCGCATTCGTGTCCGTGTGCTGCGCAGAGTGCTCTGCACAGCACACGGACATGGTTGCGCTTGTGTGTGTGTGTGTGAGCACTGAGTGTAACACTTTGATGGTGCTCGGCCCCAAAGTTTGCATCTCTGCTGCGGGGTTGCATCATCCGTTTACATCATCCCGCGCGAGGCTCGATAGTCGGGGTCCCTGCATTGTACTGCATTGTACGAATTTACCAATTAATTGGAAATTCGTCGTTACATCTACAAGACTGTTGGTTCGCCGTGGCCGTGTCAGCCCTGCACCTGGGCTGGGTGCCATCATTCAGACTAATTCTTCTCTCTCTGATTCTTTCAACAAAATAAATTGAAGCAGCATGTGTTAAAAGTAGAAGGTTGGACAGTTTGTACGTTATTAACTTATACAATACAATGGTTACGTCTTTAATCGCTGATCAATGGTATCGTCTTGCAGAATCGATCGTCGACTCGTCACGATGCCACAACTGTGGGAATCAGCTGACAAGAGCATCCAGAAGAAAGTGTTGGAGCCGGGTGCGTTTACCAGGAAGCCAACGGAATGCTCCACGTGCGTTATCACTGTGGAAAAAATAAACGTCGTTGGAACATCCGAGGCGGATTTGAGGGAGGAATATCACAGCGCTATTCTCGATGGTCAGTCCGAGAAGACTGTGATTGTGGGAGAAGCCAGTTCAGAAATTGACGAAAAGGTCGAGAGAGCGATTTGTATGATGAATATCCACGAGAGGAGCCTCGTCACCGTCGCCATGCCTCCAATACGCTCGAATGAATCTCTAGTTAGTAGTGAACCTGTTACTGTTAAGTTCGAGATCACATTGACTCACTGTAAACGTCACAAACCTGTTTGGCAATGGAGCGCAGAGGAAAAGTACCAGGTAGTCTCGAGATACAAAGGGAGAGGCACTGAATTGTTTAATGATTCCCGAATCGCAGACGCGTTCCGTAAGTTCAGCAAAGCTTGCAAGCTTCTGATAACGTTGGAGCCGATAGCGGACCTGGGATTAGACAAGCAGTTGGAATGCGATATTAATAATTTAAGACTCGCATTGTACAACAATATGGCTATATGCCAACTGAAACGGAAAAACTATCACCACGTCGTTACACTGTGCACCAAGGTGTTGGACAAGGATGTGGATAACGTTAAGGCCTTGTATAGAAGAGGAGTGGCGTATGGTAAAATGGGAGATAACGAGAAAGCTACAACGGACTTGAAGGCGGTACTTACCTTGGAATCTAGTAATCACTCGGCGAAAGAACAGTTCGACGTCTACAACAACAGGCTACAAGAATCGGTTCAGAGAAGTAACGATATGTTGAGACGAATGTTCAAGAATGTTCAACTTACTCCTAACTTATAAGTTTTTGTACATACATTCATCGAGAAATAAAGTATTTATTTTGTAAATAGAAAAACATAAGATTTTATTTCTACGCGCAATAATCTATCCTTAATTATTGTTGTCAGCAGCACCGTCGTCACACGTAATTACTGTTGTTTTGTGTCCTAAACCTAATAATAGCAAGAAAAAAAAACGTTGCAACTGTGCATAGTTACAGAATTATATGTATATATTATTTATTTCGTAATCTTTTTATTACAATATTTATTAGTATAAAATGGACAGCTAAAAGGTAGAATTATGTGCAGTAAATATAAATAATGCATCCTACACAAGGTTTTTTATAATACAAAATTTTTAATTGAGGTAACTTTGTCAATAGCCGCGACTACAAATTATTTAATAGTGTCAGGTTTGTGTATTTTTAATTTCATCACAACTGTTGTAAAATATATATATATGAGACATTACATGTTCCCTTTTCATACAAATATCGGTATCTGCAAATGACTTGAACAATCCGTTCGTTTAACCATCATATATTTATATCAGTTGCTAATTTTTATAAAATTGCATAACAATATAACTTTGTTCTAATATGAAAAAATCGTGGTCTAATAATTAATTTATGCTATGTACATATTATCTCAAGTTTGATATTGTGATAAAGAATAGTAGTCTAAACATTAAGAATAGTTGCTGAATTTAATCACAAACTTAATTTAATACGTAGTCATGTGCTAAACTTATTTTGCATAATTTATAAAATTAAAAATGAAATTTAAGGAATTCTACAGGCTGCTTAAAAAGAAGGGTTCAGGATCTTAAAGGCTGATTGTACTGAAATGGAGGAAAGCAATCTTAATAAACGTGATTGAAAAATTAATATTGAAGTACAAATACATTTTTATTGGTTAAAGCAAGTGACTGCTTGCTCGGCGCGGTATAAAAACAAATGCCCTTAAACTCTTGCACCCCTTCTTAAAATGCCCTGTATAAAAAGTAAATAAAATTTAGCACGGGACACAAAATCTTACTAACGCGAAATTCAATTTTAATGGCACCTCTTTAACCATGCATTTCCGGTAATTGTCCTACACTCGTTCTGTATAAAATACAATAAGATGACAATAAGTATACGGTTATATATATATTAATAATCAAAAATTCATTATTCCCTTGTATTGTATCTCAACTAATAAAAGAAATGTATTGACGAAAAATATTGTTAAAGCTGTTTTTAATATTTGATATACGTCGTTAATCAAGATACAAGACAATACAATTTTACAAAAAATAATGCATTTCTAATTGGATTTATCATGTTACAAAGAAGCAATTATATTTCGGGGTATAAATATGCGCTTATTTTTTACATACGTCTTCAAGTAAATAATTCAAAATATCAAATACATAAATAAATTATAATGTTATTAAAACCGCCACCAAGTACGCTTCTAATTTTTATTACGTTAGAGAAAATGTATTTCTTTGACATAATATGCTATTTTTATTTTTCAAAACAATGTTTATATTTAGTAATTATAATAATTATCTGTCGATAAAACTTTGCAAGTCCAATGTTAATAAATTGTTTAAAAATTCGATTTCTATGCAAGTAAAAATAAATTCATTACTCTATCAAGTATGTTATAGATCGAATGTAAAATATATTAGTAATCGCTTGGCAAGACTTGGTAGAGTTTTAATATACGCACACGTCAAATTATAATGGCCAAAATTACTCATTGAACAAAATTCATAGAAACAAAACAGCTAATTCTTTTTATACATGTACATCGCTTTTAGACAAACAGTAACATTACAAACTCCGTCAATTTCAAGTAGTAATATCTGCCAGTTTTATTCAATGAGCAATAGAAAATGGAGTCCAATATATCTACGACACAAATTTGATTACTATTAATAGCGTGTTGGCAATAAGACTTATGTTACTCTTAAGTAGATCAATATAATCGGGCAACTTCGAGACATTGCATTTAATAAAATCGTACACTACAGTAATATGGCGTGTGAATATCTATATCAGAGTTAGAGTTAAATAAGTTTCTACATATTTTTATCACTTTTTTCTCCAAACTATATAGAATGTGAATAACATCGTGCAATATATACATTCTTTCTTTTATTAAACAGTAGTCCAGTACAACTCAAGTAACGCGTTTTTCTGTGGCACGAATGAAATAAACCTAGTTATTCCAAGCATATATGTATAAATAACACGTAACATAACAAGGACATAATCATGAGACGTGAGCTACGCAAAACAATATCCTTTCTATTAAAACAAAAATTAATTGCAAAATGCACTTGAAATGTAATGGATGTAACAGAAAAACTTCATAGACGTAGCTTCACATAGCCTAATGGAAACGAACAAAAAGAGCTGTCACGTAAAGACTTATTTTCCTAATGTTTCTTAATAGTTCCACAAATGCACTTTTCTACCTTTTAATAATTTGTAATAACTCTTTAAATATATTAACATCCCTGTGATAAAACTTTCAGGCCAAGCTACAATGATAATATTTTTCACCAGTACAAGACTTTATTTTGATAACATCCATTTCACGGATATACTAGGCAATACTAGTAATCACAATTTCCATCAATCTAACGCTGATTTATCATTAGAATACATTGTATATACAGTCACAGTCATTTTCAAATTAGTACTTCCAAGCCATAATGTTTAATCCAGTTTTAAACAAAGAGAAAACTATTAATGGTGGTATGTCAAAATTTAATGGTATTGTAAAATTTAGTTATGCCGATTAATATTAACATATAAGGATGCAATATTTCGATTCGTTTCAACAATCAGGATATTATGGGAATGAATTATAATAATTTAGGCTTGCCATTGGCAGTGACAGTGGCGTTCATTGTTGAATTAGTTACCGCCATTTCAGCAGCCTGCGCCACTGCTACAGACACGGACTTCTCCACAAACTGTTGGTAGAGTGGCTTCATGAACTGAACAAAAGCAAATAAATCCATTCCGTCAGTACTGCAATGTTTTATGACAATTTTAATATATCGTACAGTTGTTTCCAATTTTGAACATTTTAATTACTTTTTAGTTACAAGATGCATTCACTTCGTGGCACTTGAAGCCAACATAGAAGAAGTATTAATATAGTTATATAAAGGGGAAAATAGAGTTTTCTAATCAAGCGTATATACGGATGCAATGTTTGGAAAGTAAGGCATAACCAGTGTTGATGTAAAGTTATCAAATATTTGGTCATATATAGCCGAATGTCATACCTTTTCGATATTTGCTCCTGTTAGCACTCAGCTTATGACAGGAATAAAAAAAGGACAATAAAAGAGAATGATATTAATGGTTATGCTTCCATTATATGAAATGGTTCTGGTTAGTAAGAAAAAAATGTGCAAAACACCAATGTGTAACAAACAAAGAGATAAGCAATTCGGAATTGAAGATAATTAAAGATTAAAATTAGAAAAGAAGAAAAGCGTGTGATCAGATATAACCATGTCTACGAAGGTCACGATAAGTAAAATGACATATAGGTATTGCAAATACAATTACAATAATGGACAGGATTAGGTATCTTAAAGTATACGTTAATTTATAACAAAGATGAGCGCATAGCCAGACCTGTTGCAATAAAAAAAATGTTACATATTAATTGTTATGTGAACATCATACAAACTATGTTAATAATATGCAAGATATACACATATCGTGACAAGTGCTGCTTGTATGCAACATAAGGACACAGAAATTTTCATGTGATTTGAGTGCAAATTTAATGCTTAATCAATATTTTATGCCATTAATTATATAACTTCTCTTTTTCATGAATTATATTTTCAAGTCAAGTACATTAGAAAACTAGTATATTATACAATTATAAAACTACTAAGTGAGTAAAAAAATCTCTACCTTTCTCAAATATCGTTTTTCATTAGTACACTGTGAACAATATAATTTTTATCAGAAAGGTGTTATGTTCATACGATAAGAGTCAAAAGCAGATACATAGAGAAAACAAAGAATTTTCGATAGTTTCTAAGAAGATACTTGTACTTACATTTTCCCATATTTTACTGGCTAAGTCATCTATTTGTGTTCCAATTTCTCTGAACTCTCCGCTATACCTATATCGAACAAAAGATCAGAGATCTTAATCATGAAATGACGAGAAAATTGTAAGAAAACGCAAGATTTTAACATACCTTATATATGCCCACAAGACAAGCGTGAGAAGGCCAATACCCATAATAAGATTACATACATTCGCTATTGTGTACAGACCAACAAGACCAAATATTCCAGATAAAATGTACATAGTGACGGCAATTGCGAAAAACACGGCTGGCGTTCGCGCTGCTTTAAAAATATTTTTGCTCTCATTGTGCGCTTTAAATTGCGAAAAAGCATCATCCATGTCCTGAAACAAAAATAATTTATAATAAAAAGGACATTTAAGAAAAACAGATGAGCAAATAATTGGAAAAAACTAGCAGTCAACTGGTGATTGTGGCACAAAAAGAATCCGACTAAAAATCGAATTGGCATTAAATTGTATCTAATGTAAAGATGTGTATGTGCAGAGGGGTCACCATGCGTCTAACAAGATGCTGAGGACTGAGCAACGAATGAAATGTGCATCGTTACCTTAATTAATTTTTCCATATATATTTGACTGAATTCTTCTCCGCCCATCTTTCGTTTGTTTTGGAATTGACGAAGGGCTGAATCCATACAGTGCTGATGCTCGGATTCTAAGTGAGCGGTTGCTAAAAACGGCTTCGTTCCACCGCACACGGTCTCCATCATCTGAAGGTACAAATCCTTGGCTTCTGCTACAGCGGTTAAGTTGTTAGCTTCCGCTGTGGCCTGTAAATGCAAAACACAATTACTGCGGTTGAGATGATTGCCTGTTCCACTTGAATGAAATAAAAGATCGACTTGCAAATAAAAACCGCAAATTATAGAAACCGCAAAATTATACGTACCACAAGCATACTTTTCGGTTCGGGAAGTTCATCTCCTTTGTAAAGATTGATGTAACTCTTGAAATATTCCAACAGATCTTTCGCTTTCACGACTTGGCCGTTGATCTTCTTGGTCACCAGATTTTCTGGCGCCAGAATCATCGGTATGAGCACTTTTAACTGTTTTTTGAACTCCGTCTGGATCTCGGATAATCTACCATCGAATTTCGGATTCATCGCGATCTCGAGACCGGGATGTGGCATGAGGAAACATGATATGTCCGAAAAGCAGGACTTGATATGCTTTCGCAAGCTCTGCAATTCCGGATGCTGCCTGTCGGAAATCTCTAGTCTTTTGTCGAGCAATTTCTTTCCGCCGTTTGAGCCGTAATCGGCCTCGTACGGATAAACCCAGTCTCTGATTAAGAATTGCAATCTTTGGAAGGGCGTGCTGTCGGAGCTCTCCAACGCTAGTCTGCCGTACTCGGTAAACAGCTGCAGGTGCTGAAGATCATCCTCCTGAATATTTTGCGACAGATTGTATATCTGCACCGAGGACAGCATTGTACTCAATGCGAACACCGTCGCGCAATCCCGCACTGTTGATTGACTGTCGAAAGCGCCTTGAGTGTCCATAAGAATCACAGCGATCTCTTCACCGTTCGCCAGGGTAGCGGGATAAACCTTTGACCACATCAAGATTCCCGTAGTATCCCTCTCCGAGCCACCCCTCCATGAAAAACCACTCAGTGGCTCGTCCTCAGCGCCTAACCAGGACTCGGTATTGTTGTGTAGCGTGTACTGTTGATTACAGCGAAAAATTAATAATAGTCATTCAATAATTGAGTTTTGTATCAATTGATGACGGGCGTAATATAAAATAATACTTGATAAATATCGGATTATTTGCGTGTGTTCTCTTTTTAACTTAGTCTTTGATGATCGAAGTAAGAAAAATTATCGGATCTGTGAATATCACCTACCTTGTTGTTCATGTAACGAAGAAAAAAGTCAAGAAGGAAACTTTTGCCTTTCCTGAAGGCACCTGCAACAGATACCACAACCACACTTCTATCTTTCACGTCGTCGTGTAAGAGGATTTCAGACAGTGCATCTTCATCTAACTCGAAGGTATGATCCGGATGGGCAAGTACCACTTGCACAGGCCGCCCACCATCCGCGTCTTGCATTTCTGCATCCATCGGCGAAAGCCTTTCTATCCGGTCCATCTTTCCAAGATAATCTACAAAAGAAAACTAGGCTAAAACATCTCTATTACAAATACTGGACAATAATTAATAATAGTAATATAGAAATACATATTATACAGTAAAAAAGATTGAATAAAAGATTGATCGGAAGAATCAAGAAAAAAATCTATATCATTATTTTATCTTAAATATTAATGGAATATTTGGAAGATAAATTTTACTTATTTTAAGTTACAAAATCAGTTCTCTTGATATTATTCCAGAAGAATATGAGAAAGGATAGGACGAGGAAATTATACACAGTCATGTGTAGATTTTTATCACCAATCGAGTACGTAAGCAGGTTCCCGACATAATTTATTGCACACGCGAAAATAAGTAGTCCAAGAATAAAACCGCTGCCGGTTACGTCTAATGGCTTGTGATACGAGCCTTGGATCAGTTGTGAGATTAATTGGCAATTTAAATCACCAATCATGCAAGCGACATAGTAACTGAAGATCAAACGCTGGAAGACTATATTGTTCCATACTTTATCAGTTACATTGCATAGAAAAATTTATACATTTATTCACAGTTAGTCTCTTTCGTCTTTTTATAATCTGGAAGTTATCCGAGATAGAAGTTATTAACTGCAGTCTTAATTATAATTTATATTGCGGCGAAACAGTGTCGTCGGAAAATAAAGGTTTAGATAATTTTCATATTAACATGTTACAGTTCTTTCTGAATTCAAGTGTGATCGAATTATCTTCATGACGATGTTTTCTGATAACCGCAGAAAAAGTTGAGTTTCTCCACTCAAAGAAATGACACGAGGGGTACCGTTATGCTACGGAATACCAGACTTTCAAGCAAAATAGATGAAGCGAAACAAGAAATGCTTGTTTTCAAAATTACTGCCGTGTAGTGTAATAAGCTAACTGCTAGACCGTTATTCGCGTCATGAAAATGATCGATAATATATAATTACACGGCAAAAAGACATCGGAGAATTGGTATACAGAAAGCTTCATCATGTTTAATCTCTTACGATTTTTTCTTACAAATAAGAGATGGATATTTATCAGAATGTACATAAAAACTATGTTTCAAATTGCTATTTGTGTACCTCAAATTACTTTTCTTCACCGATTACAGCTATTACTCTTGACAGTCTGATTCTTATACGTGCATTGAAATGAATAATAGTTCATCGTTAAGAAGCAAAAGAACATTTCACGGTTCTTGATTTTCTATTATTAAAGCGTTGCGTATACAGAAACTGACTTCATCATATCTTTACGTCACTTTTGTTAGCGATATCGAGAGATATCGCGAGCAACTAAAGTGCAATCAACAATAATCAATAGTTTTGATAACACGCAAAATCGATGGAAACGTACTATTGATATTATCCTTTTGTTTGTCGTACTTTTCTATTTTGAAACATGATAAAATTTTTACTGGCATCAAGGACCAAGTTTGAAATAAAGGCTTATTAATATAGAGATGTAATTATTTATCGAGTAAATTATTCTTCTAAGACATTTACAACTTTAATTCAGCAATACATTAAATCATAATGTTGTATCATGCGACAGTCGACGTTGTGACTATTGCATGCTATGCTTTGTCATACTAAAGGCGATACATCGCAGTCGATTTATGCGCGACATATATTCAATTTTTGCTCATGCTACTTGTTTTATAATCCAATGACTATTATGTTTTTATTGATGGTCTTGCATAATTTTAATGATTTCAAGCAAGTTATATAAATACTAGAAAATGTTATATAAATAGGTACGTATATTAAGCAATTATCACATGCATATTCTTCTTACATTTCTTATAAAATTTTCTCGCGCGTCAATGTAAATAACATCATCTATCACTTTGAATTATATCTCTCAATAATTCTTGTATTTATAGCCGGCAAAATCGTTCAAGAATATCTCGAATATTTAAATTATCGGAAATTTTACGTTAAGAAATAAGCGCACGTGGCACCTGTTGCTATTCATCTTCAATTACGAATGCTTCTTAATAAGAACACAGGATGGTTCTAATTATGATTAACGTTGAGATCAAGACCGGTACAATATTACGCGATGGAACGTCGTCTTTTTTTCACCGATAGCCTTCAGCTTGTGTTGCGATTACGTGTTGCGGACGAACGGCTAGTCATATTCGTGTGGCGAATGTGCCGCACACAATTCTATAGTCCCTTCCTCTTCCACGACGAATCTTCGCGTCATCGTAGTTTACTATACACACCGCTCGCCCGATCTCCGAGACTTCCTTATCTCGCGATACATCGTACGAATCGTTGCATTATCGTACAAGGCTACGAATTTCTTGTCTAGAAACGGCGAACAAAGAGCAAACGCGCAAGACTCGATTAACTAAAGAAAAGACTGAGGCAAGAAACACACTCGTGTATTACGAGCACAACGATATCGAGAGATTATTTTTATTTTATTTTACTTTTCGTAAATTTCATATAAAGACAACACGTCATTATTTAGACTCAACGGAATCGTCATTAATAATGAATCTTAATTACAAGACGAGGATATGAAGAAACGACGAAATTTAACGGAGAAACGTGTGCGTCACATCGATCGTTCATGCGTCGTAAGAAGCATTTTACGGTTTTCAAGAAAATTTCAGACTTCCCGTGATATAATAATAAACTTTCACATCGCATCCTTTTCTCGAAATCGTCTGAGATACATGCGACCGAGATATTACGAGGACTCACGTGAATTCGAAAGAACAAGGCGGCTTTTGCCGCGAACGATCCGGAAAAGTTGTAAACTCGGGGCAAACCTCTCGCAAGACTCGCAGGAAGAACTCGGGCGATGCTCGAGAAAGCTGCTGGCCGTGCGAACGTCGTCGCAAAAATTTGATCCGGCGAGACTGCCTGACGAGTCGCTTTTGTTGGTTTTCTTTCGTACACAAAGGAAAAGTATTTTATCTGAGAAAAGTGGGATTCGCGCCAAGTCGGTCGTCGCTTCGAAATTCGCACGGAATCGTTACATTTTTAGGAGGCTTTCAGCGACACGGCAACGGCTATGAGCAGTGACGCGATTTACGAACGAGAAGAGGCGGAGAAACGAATCAAATGACTCCAAGAGAGCGGTCGAATAAACACTTTGGCCGACTAAGAAAAGCAACTCACCCATGTTTTCAGCTGCCTTGTGCTGTTGTCGGGGTACACGGTTCACGTTCTCGTCGAGGGTCGTCATCGGGGCCTTCTCGGCTGAAAGCAAATTTTTTACACGTTTAGGTCTCTGTTTTCACCACCGTAATGTTCGCGCTTCGCGTAAAATCTGCTTTAAACTATTCCAAATAATTCAAGACAGACGAATATCAAGTCTCTTTAAAATCTATAATGATCCTTCATCGATCTTTCATCCTGTCTCTTAATAATTTATAAATATGGGAGAGAGAGAGAGAGAGAAATCAACGTAACTATTGTGTAAGTGAATCCAGTTTGATATCACCGTTCCCCAAAAATTTCGTGAAAATTTTAATACTCAACGTTTTGATTAAATTATTGATTGATGAGACTATTTCCAGTTTTTAAAAATTCATCTACAACTTAACGGTTACATAAGAAATTGTTTCAAGAATAAGAGAGGAGAAAAGTAGAACACTGAACCAAGTAACTTCTCAAGGAGCAAGTGTCGAGTCAATCGGTAAAACGATCGCGTTTCCAAAAAGTCATTTGACAAACTAACTCGGTTTCTGCTGAGTTTCTACAAACACGCCACGTTGCACGCCATTTCCGAAATCGGAATTGTGAGCCGTCGTCACGTATACGGTCTGCGTCCTTGTTCTCGGCGGTCTCGCCGGTTCCTTCGGTACATCCGACCTTACCAACGGCCTTGACCCAGAAGGGTCGTTGAGCCGTTTCCGTCTCGGCGTTACGACTTTTCTCTCGGACATATCACCGGCTCTCACATTCGTCACCCAATCGGCACGACACCCGACCCGTCAAGATCGAGCAACGAACGGGAATTAAATATATATCCCGAGGGGGGGGAAAACACTCGGCCGCGATGCACTGTGCACACACGATACTCGGGTACTAAGTCTGCGAGGAGAGCCCGACTAGAAATATCCCGGCCGCTGGTGGTCGGCACTCTTGAGGCCGTGCGTGACAGCGAACCTCGCGAGTTGGCAGCATCCCACGAGTGTGGTGATGCCACACCGACAGAAATCAACCGACACAATCGTAGAAAACGTAGTGGGGCACATACATGGCACGTACATGGGCGCCGACAGCTTTTTCTTCGAGTTGGCGCATGTGTCTGGAGTCTAAACTAAATAGACCATACAGCCTCGCGTCTACTTGGAGAGCCCTCGAGTTACACGTTCGAAAGATACCTCGTAGAGTATTTATGAAGGGGTAACCGCTGACCAAAATCTTGTACACCAATGCCCACTAATGCCCGGTGGGCATTACTTTAACTTGTTATATCTTTATAATGCTCCACCAAGGCCTAATGCCCAAAAAATGCCTAGTAATGCCACAAATCTGTACACCACAATGCCCTCAGCGGTTTCCCCTTCGATTATTTATATCCAACTTATACTTTTATTATAGTCAACGACAAAATGAAAAGGTCTTTCTTTTGCAGCTTAAAGTTGCAATCTACTATTGTTAAAGACTCTAATATTTTTTAACTAACAAGAATATTCTTCATGTCGCCAGCAGTAATTAACACGTTCAGTATTTTTGTTGACCATATCTGGCATTGTTAATAATACAAAATGTACATGCACATGCCTCAGTGCGAATTGGTGAGACGCCCACCTAAAGAGTAGGGAAGTCCAGGTTCAAACCCTGGCTAAGGTAATATTTATCGAAATAAATTTTCTGTATTATTAAAAATGCCAGAAAAGGTCAATAAAAACACTGAAGTTTCTAATATTTTTTATTTAAAAAAAAACTGCTAAAAAAGTTCTCTAATCGTAGAATACAGAGTTACTTTCAACATCGCGCACCCTTACTTTGTTACAGTTTACCTTTTATTACTTCAAATAAATGTACGGATCCTACTAAACAATATTATATGTCTTTTGTAATACGGGATGGGATAGCCTTGAGCATTGCATAGAGAAATGTAGTAGACATCGCACTGGTTTAAGAAATTAGGAAAAAACAATAAAGAAATAAGGAATAAGATATTGAGCGATGAATTAGATACGGTAAAAGGGAATCCTACAAGGAAGCTATGGATGGAAAGAGAAAGCAGGTTGCAAAGTTTAAAGAGAGAAAAAGGAGAGAGAGGAAAGGAGAAAGAGGGAAAAGAAATGTAAATAATATAAGATCAATATAAGACTGTGGCGAGTATATCGTCAAATCCAACGGCTATAACGCGCGAATAGACAAATCACAGATACACATACAGGCGAGACGCGACGAGAAAAACAAAGACAGCTGTGCGAAAACAGAGGTACTGGCGAAATTTAAACTGCGGTGACTTTGAGCCGAGGAAACGATCTAAGGTTTTAGGGGACTCGACCGAGAGACGTGCTCGCGTGTATGTGTATCTGTGATTTGTCTATTCGCGCGTTATAGCCGTTGGATTTGACGATATACTCGCCACAAGACTAATAAAGTATAAATAAGAAATAAAAGATCCATACAAGTGTAAGTACAAATAGAAAATTTGAGCTAAAGAAAATTTAATATATAATAGAATAGAGTTAAGTTTAGAATTGTTAAATTTAGGTTTCAAATACAACTAAACTAAGTAAATAAAGCAATTAGAAATACTCGTCACATGTGAAGAAGAAAATAGAGAGGAATGAAATAAGTGTGCAAGAATGAGTTGAGAACCCATTGTAAACCATGTCCACTTCTTGGCTGTAAGTTGAAGTTAATAAATTATATAATATTAAACAATATAATATTAATTTATAATAAATACAATACAAATACAATAATAAATACAATATAATATTAAACTTCTGCAATCGATAAAAAAAAATCTTTCCAAGATATGAGCACACTGATGCAGTTTCAGGCTACGCCGATGGAAATACACACTCGCCCAGTTTTTATGTTGGAAGTGGGGGATAGGAGTCGGCATGAAAAATACTGACGATGTCATCAATGTCTTCGCGTTAAGATATTGCTCTACGCCGTTGAGTTCAGCCTCGCTCGGCACATGGATACGAACGAGTGGATTTAAACACGATTGGTGATCTCAGAGAGAACGAGTGAGATTAGTGAGTAAAAAAAAGGGGGTAAAATGACGATTATCAGACGTTACATTTAACTAAAGGACGTGTAACGTTTGGTTTTTAAAGTTTGATGTTGTCATGTTGTTTGACACTGATAATTGTGAAAGAATAAACGTGACGTAACATGATATTTGTGTACGATTATATCTACCAAAAAAATTAACGAAAAAGGTGAATTCTGTCATCATATCCTGAAGCCATTTGACCTTCTGCATTTTGTACAATATAAAGATAGTGCGCGTTTTATGTACCCTGTATTATTAAATAATATTGCTGATGAAAATAAAGATAATAAATTCTCTGTACAAGTAAGAACGTAAGGAATATTTGATAAAAATTGCGCATTAACGTTGGCGAAACGAGCAAACGCAAAATTTAAAAACTTCCACGCGCAGCGTAAAAACTTAATTGAACGCTGCTAGCGGCAATAAAATTATTATTGAGACCGATTACAAAGAAGCAGTTGCTAACGTCATACTCAATCGACAACCTACCTTGAGCAACATTTTGTTATAACGTATCCTATTAAATATCGGAACCAGGTTGAAGTAGATATGAAAAATAATAGTTGATAACCAATACATAAAAATTTTCATAATTAGGGATAATTTTCAACGTCTCAATCAATCTGTCGTTCGTGTCATCTAAATGGGAATGAGCTTTGGCAATATTCCATGATCTGTGTGCAAAACGACCTGTATATCATACATCGTTTCTAATTGTAACGTTTTACGAAGAATTTATAACGAGGTGTAAAAGTAAATTATGCAACGATATACAACTGCCACGAACGATTAAAAAAACTGTTATAAAATAATGTTCAAAGTAAGTTTTTTTATGTGTCAACATTGTCCTCCACAAGTTTGTTAATCGGTTTATAATTTGCCCGATAAGGTTTCTTAGAATTAAAATAATGTTGAAAAACTCTCTAGCGGAGAATAATTGGAATAATTAATAGATTTCTAAATGAGAATGGAAAACATTAATCAGTGACGCAACATAAAAACAAAGCGCGTCAGTTAAATGTCATTTTTTGAATATCATTCATGCACCTTGGACTTTCTTGAACTTTGGATCGTTTTATCTGTCGCTTTTTGCATGAATTCGTGACGATGTGTGACGTACGCGGCTGAGTATCCTTGCGCGGACTGTAGAAGAAGTAACGAGGTTTAATTTAGACACGGACGACACCGAGTAATTTCGTACTCTCGCATTTGCAAACGCCAACTGGGAAGAAGATCGCGCGCCATATGTCGCAAATATTGGCACCGCGTCGTCGCGAAAACTTTTAAGTAGTGCCTCATAAATGTTATAAGTAGAAATTATCCAAGCCCAAGAGTCCCTACCAATGACTTCAAGATATACTTTCTATTAAAATTACGTATAAATATGATATTACTTTACACAAATATTTTATATCACAAATATAATATATTCAGTGGTATTAGTTGTTGCACATGAAATGGCCGTTTTCGCAGATTGGTAACATGGGTGACGTTTTAATATGTAAAAACGAACAGAACGAGACAGTTATTATATGTCAAATTAAAGTCACAACCCTGATCTTCAAAACCCATAATTAATTTTTTTATTGATTATCGTCAACGTTTTTGTGACCAGCCAACTTGAAATAATGGATAAGAGCCAAATACGGGTAATGTTTTTTTTTACGAGTTTAAACTTGAACTTAATGTAGCAGAAGCAAGCAGAAACGGCATTTGGAGAAAGCACAACTAGTGAACGAACAACTAGACGTTTGTTTGAAAAATTTTGTTCAGGAGATGTATGTCTTGAGAATGAGCCTCGTGGTCACCCTGACGAGTTAAGGGTTTTGGTGGAATCCGATGAACGTCAAACTGTTAGAGATATTGAGGAACAAATAGGCGTCCAGTATTCAACAGTTACTCGGTATTTGAAAGCAATTGATGAAAGTTTCATTTAAAAAACGGCCATTTTATATGCAACAACCTTATATAGGACATTACTTATTTCTTCGTGTAAAGAAATAGGATAAAATAAAAATTTGCGCTATATCTTGGGATAATTTGAGACAATTATTTTTATAAATGTACGGTAAAGTAATTTTTAGAATTTTGACACCGAAATATCGTTTCTCTGAATTATAATACGTTTAAAAAGATTAAGCTCGTATGGGTGTTTAGACGAATCCACTTCTTTTCGAGAAGTTCAAGCTCTGCACGTTAATAAAATTTCTCCTGCTTTCGAGAGTACTTGCGCGTTATAATCCTACTTCGTGCGATTGTTAAACCGCACTGCCGATTTACAAGCTGACATTGGTGAGCGAACGTAATCAAAGTCGGCGGTTGTCACCACGATTTTACCAATGAGGCTTTTAAATTGGTACCAGATTTGCACGGGCAATAAAGCGCCAAGTTAACGATCGCGATGGGCGTTACACGTGGAATTACGACGTGCTTACCCAAGATATTTATTTTACGAAGGTACATTCCCCCCACTGGAGCATTTACACCGTGCGGAGGCAAATGTTTTATGACAAATGAGGGTTTATTGCGAGGAGGAAAGCCGGAATGCGAACGGGATCGGTGAACGAGAGAGCGAGAGCAAGAGAGAAATAAGAAATCGCCCCTCGCGTACACGAATGTGAGTTAGGATTATTGTGGCTCCTTCAGACATCTCGGTTATCGTTATTCTCGCGATGTTATCCGGTACGAAGATTATTTATATTTCCATCCCTGTATACGCCGAGCGTAACCACGACTCCCGAAGTTTATGCAACACCGTATGCAGTTCGGTTATGAGCTCTGCAACGGCCCGAAATTCCCGCTCGCGATTTTGCGCGAGCCGGTGAATTTTTAACAATTGATAGGGAAGAGTGAGAACAAGATCGACCCCAATTTTTTCGATTTTGGTCACAAAATAGGTACCAAACGAAAGTCTCGTCA